GGTAGTCGTAAGCTCTCTAACTGACCGGAACTTGCGCTGGTCTAGTTTATTTATGGCATCAGTGGCCCTTTGCGCCTCCTGTGGGTTATGCCATCGAGCCTCTACCATCTCCATGAACTGGTCTAGAGTCAAAGACTTGCCCAGTCCGCCATGCGTCGCCCGTACCCGGCTTTCACAACTACCCCATCTAACCGTTTGGCTGCCTTACCCTCTAGGTAAGATGCCGCAGTTACCACTTCATCCTCTGGCAAGGTCCTTTTGGCCTTCACCCAAACCGGGACTGTCCTCAACCATGTGTTGAGTTCCTCGTCCTTCCTCTCGCCTGAGAAGGCAAGAGGCGGTTTCATTGGGGTCTTGGGATACCATTGACCTTGATGCTGTCCCTTTGTAGGAACAGGTTGTTGCGGTGGTGTAGCAACCACTGCTGGACCCGAAGAAGAAGATGCAACAGTCTGTGCGGCTGCTGCAGATGTGCCAGCTTGAACCGGAAAGGGGCCTGACATCGCTGATAACGGCAACGACGATTGTGCTGGTGGCCGGAATCCTGGCTTTGTCAAAGCATCATCGCATTTTCTCTATTGGTAGCTTCTTTCAGGTCCTGCTCTAACTTACGGCGGAGCATCTCGACCTGCTGGATCTCTCTGAGCTCCCTCTGACGCGGGGTCAACGGGCTGAACTGCGAGCCCGCCATTTGACTAGAAGCCTGTCTAGAAACTGTGGAACCGGAAGTGCCCGAGGAACTTGTGGAGCTTGTTGGCATTCCCAACTGGCCCCCATTAGTCCCTGACGAGGACGCAGATGATGACGCAGCAGAGCTTGCGCAGTTAGCCATCGCTGCTGCTCTGGCTGCTGTTGCCTGCTCTCTAGCTGCTGCGTTAGTTGCTGCTATCCCCGCTGCTAGAGCACGGGCTCTACGTTCGGCCCGAAGCCGTGCTTCGTCTCCCGGTTGTAAGGCTTGGAACATGTGCGGTACCCCTAGTGCCCGTGCACGTGTTAGTCTCTTTTCGTCAGCTCTATCATCAACAGGGTCTGACCCACTCATTAGTTAGACAGATAGTGTCTACACTAGAATCCCCTAATGGAATCCTACCGCAGCATGTATCTGACCGGCACGTAATTTTCAACAAATAGTTGTGTCCGGCGAGTTCCTTACTATACCGAATCAAGTGGCATGTCTACAACATTCACATCAGATTGTCTACATTGTCTAGCTGTATCATGACAAGTTCTCGTACAGCAGCAATAGTTAGAACTGGCTATGGTAGCATACAACAGTCCTATACTAATCTGTCTGTGAGGTCAGCAGTCCGTCAACCAACTAATCAAAGATACAAAAAGACAATGCAGCAGATGTATGATGAGTGGGTATAGTTATGTATTCAGTTGAGCACCAATTGGAACCTACCCTCCCCTCCATCCAACATACCGAACAACATCATTGAGCGAGCAGTGTCTTCGTGTGTGAATCAGCCCACCCCTGTGCCCAAGTTGTCACCGAGCAAGCCAGCCCAACCACTCTTATTTACCCTCGTACGGCGACGAGCCTTCCTGTCCATGTGATCTGGCTGATCAGGAGGAATTTATAGAGCGCCCCCATCTCTTCAGGAATTATTTAACGTCGCAGTCAGGACGACGATCACAGCCAGATTCACAATGAACTCCCAACC